ATTCACAATCAATGGAAGCAGCAGTCATGAAATCAAATGATGTATTGCATTAGGCAAATCTGATGCGCAAAGACTCTCTAAAGTGTTAAAGAGGAAAAATGTCATGAGTCTAAAAATGTCTTTACCCAAACCATGTTACTTTCAATTGCCTCATGCATGTGAAAGTTGGACAATGAATAAGGAAGGCCAGAGAAGTATTGATGCATTTGGATTATGGTGCTGGCAAAGAATACTGAAAGTACTATGTATGGACTGACAGAAGAACAAACAGATCTGTCTTAGAAAAAGTATAGCCAGAATGTTCTTTAGGATGCTAGGATGGTGAGACTTCATCTCTCATATTTTAAACATGCTATTAGAAAGGACCATTCCCTGAAGAAGGACATCATGCTTGGTAAAGTGGAGGGTCAGTGAAAAAGAGGAAGACTTGCACTGACATGGATTAACACAGGGCAGCAATAATGAGCTCAAACATACTAACAATTGTGACAACGGTGCAGGACTGGGTAATATTTTGTTCTATTGTGTACAGGTGGCTATAGTCAGAATCAACTTGACAACAATAGCTAAATGATCATGAACATTTCTTCATATGGGCGTAGGTCATCTGAACGTCTTCTTTAGTGAAATTTCTGTTCATGTCCTCGGTCCATTTTTTAATTGGATTATCTGTCATTTTCTTGTTGAGTTGAAGTTTTCCATAAATTTTAGAGAATAGTCTTCAAGGGATATTTTTGGTGCAATGTTTAAATTGAAAGATTACCTCAGGGTAATAGTTTCAGAAGATCATCCAACTTCCATGGCCTAGAAAGTCATAAGTCCATGAGAATTTGAAATTTTGTACTGTACTTCCTCCCTCTTTTGTTCAATATTATTTTATAAAATCTTTGCTTAAATGTTCAGTAATGATAGCCAGGCATCATCTAGTTCTTCTAGTCTCATGGCAAAGGAGGCAGTTGGTCATGGAGGTAATAAACCACACATTCCTTTTCTTCTTCCTATTCCTGACTCTCCTTCTTTCTCTGTTGCACTAGGCGAATAGAGACCAATTGTTGTGTCTTGGATGGTTGCTTGCAAGCTTTCAAGATTCCAAGCACTACACAATAAAGTAGCAGGTAGAACAGCAGTACTAAACATAGTACTAGGCCAATTAAGTAGGATGTCCCATGAAACCATGACCCTAAACCTCCATGCCAAGGCATCAAATCCATGAGACATTTGTTGTACACAAGTAACCTCAACACCTACTCTTTATGTTGGTGTTCTAAATACAAGGATATTTTTGGTGCAATGTTTAAATTTAAAGATTACCTCAGGGTAATAGTTTCAGAAGATCATCCAACTTCCATGGCCTTATATATATATATCACACAACTTTGGCCAATTAAATTGTGGACAGGTGTACAACTTACTAACAGCAACTACAGTAATCAGCTGTGTAACCCTGTCCTTAAAAAGAGTTCTTTATTACTATATGGGTTCTATGAAGAAAAATGTGGCATCAAGATTGGAGGAAAACTCATTAACAACCTGCGATATGCAGATGATACAACCTTGCTT